CTCCAACACACAGTTGCACGGGGTGCAGAATAGTTTCCCCCCACTTTTTGCCCGGTCTTTAGTAGAAATGTTCGTCGGTAAATGAGATGGATTAGATATTTTCATCTTGGTGTTTTCTCTATCGTGTGAGCTCCACACGTTCACTCTATACAGTGTTGTTTACATTCTGTGATGCGCGAGCTGATGACGTCACGTCAAGACGAGTTAACTTTTTTTTTTTTTTATTTTGTGTGGAAAAATGCGGGGATTATGCGGCCTTTTGATAAATATGCGGCCTTTTAGAAATCTGCGCCATTTTGCTGATTATGCGGTAAATTCTGCAATCGCAGAATCGCGTTTTTCTGGAGGGTCTATATTCTGATGCAGGGCTGAGAGACAGACATGCTTTATGTGTCTCACTGGATCAAAAGAGGAATAAAAAGCAATACAAAGTAAACAGAAACATTGGCCCAACCTTAAACATTCATAGCAGTATTGTCTGAGAAATTTGCACCCGTATTTTCTGAATCATTTCATGCATAGTTAAAGCTGCAGGATTTTCTTTGATATGAATAATGCATCAAATGACTGTGTAATACGGGTAATTGGTTGCTCATTGGGATGCAATTATAAATGATGGTCGTTTTGACTGATTGCAAATATATCGCACCTTAAGCAAACAGTAATTTTAAGAAGAAAAGTTGTTGAGGTAGAGCACAGAGAGAACAGCCTAACTGTGCACACTGCAGCTCTCAGCTCCGAGCAAGTTAGCCAATTATGTTGAAGCTCAAAGGCCCTTACAGGCCAGGGATAATAAAAACACCAATTTATTCTCTGCAACCATACATTCCTTCAATGGGAAACTTGAAATAAATGTCGCTATCAGAAACAATGCACAACGTGTTTTGAATATGGTCTGTGTTTACATTAGCAAGCATCACTAACACTTAGAGCTAACCTGTACTGGAGAGAATATGTGTAAAGAAGCAGGATATAAAAGGTACTGTCCTTGTGTTAAACCCGTAAGAGAAAAAGCATTTGAGCTCCATACTGTTTCAGAAATAATCCTTGATGTGGTTTTGAACATGATATGGCGTTTAATCACAGCAGCATTTAGCTGTATCTCGTAGAATTCTGAGCAGGCATTAGCTCCCCCTCCTCTTTTTTCTTTTCAAGCTAAGGACCCAGAAACAGCCCTTCTCTAACAGTGCTGAAACAGAGGGATATGAGGGATGTCTAAAATGCATGATCTGTTTGTATTTTGAGCAAAACACTTCATAGACATGTTTTTTATATATCTGAGACCCATAATATATGCCTAAAAATAGCATGATAGGAGAACTTTAAAATGTTTCTTTCTGCCACTGAGTGATGTTTCTGTGCAGCTGAAGGTGTCAGAGAGTGAGGAGAGCATCTCAGACCACGAGAGCTTCCACAACAGCCTGCTGAACATGGAGAAGTGGCTGATGATCATGAAGCAGAAGCTGGAGTCCTTCCACAGCCAATCAGGAGAGTGGAGCATCGAGGGCCGCCAGCACGAAGCTGAGGTAGGTGTGTGTGTGTGTGTGTGTGTGTGTGTGTGTGTGTGTGTGTGTGTGT